TTCTTTCACTTGCTTTTGGTTTAGTTTACTCTTCCTTTTTTAGCTTCTTAAGGTGAAAGGCTAAATTATTGCTTTGAGATCTTCTTTTGTGATAGAGGGGGTTGTAGTTATAAATTTCCTTCTAAGCCCTGTTTTTGCTGCTTTCCACACATTTTGTTATGTTGTGCTTTTGTTTTCATTCATCTTGGAGTGTTTTCTAATTTTTCTTGTGATTACTTTTTTGACTCATTGGTTATTTAGGTGTGTGTTATTTAATTTCCACGTATATGTGAATTTCCCAAATTTTCTTTTGTTGTTGATTTCAAATTTCATTCACTTGTGGTCAGAGAACATACTTCGTATAATTTTAATTCTTTTATTTACACTTGTTTTATGTGCTAACATATGGTCATTCATGAAGAAAATTTTGTATGTGCTCAAGAAGAAAGTATATTCTAGTGTTGTTGCATGGAGTGTTCTATTATAGATGTCTATTAGGTCTAGTTAGTTTATAGTGTCTTTCAAGTCTCCTATTTCCTCATTGACTTTTTGTCTGGTTGTTCTATCCATTATTGTGGGTATTGAAGTATCCAACTATTATTGTCGAATTGTCTGTTTTTCCCTGATATGATAGTTTCTGATTTATATATTTTGGGGCTCTGTCAGGTGCAGGTGCATATATTTATAATTATTATATATTCTTGATGGATTGACTCTTTTTTTTTTTTTCAAGATGGAGTCTATCTCTGCCACTCAGGATGGAGTGTAGTGGCATGATCTCAGCTCACTGCAAACTCCACCTCCTGGGCTGAAACGATTCTCCCACCTCAGCCTCCTGAGTAGCTGGGATTTCAGGCACGTGCCACCATGCCTGACTAATTTTTGTATATTTAGTAGAGAAGGGGTTTTATCATATTGGTCAGGCTGGTCTTGAACTCCTGACATCAAGTGATTCACCCACCTCAGCCCTCCAAAGTGCTGGGATTACAGGTGTGAGCCAACATGCCTGGCAGGATTAACTCTTTTATCATTATAAAATGTCCTACTTTGTCTCTCATAATGAATTTTGTCTTAAAGTCTGTTTTGTCTCATATTATTATAGTTATTCCAGCTCTCTTTTGGTTTCTGTGTACATGGAACCTCTTTTTCCACCCTTTACCTTCAACATATTTTGTCTTTAAAACTAAAATGTGTCTCTTATATATAGCATCTAGCTTGATCATGGCTTTAGAAATTCATTCTGCCAATTTCTACCTTTTAATTGAAGAGTTTCATCCATTTACATTTAGTAAAACTACTGATAAGGTAGGATTTATGTCTATTATTTTGCTATTTATATGTCTTACATGTTTTTGTTTCATTTCTGCTTTGTGTTAAACAGTTATTTTCTAGTGTTCCATTTTAACTCCTTTGTCATTTCTTTTACTATATAAATTTTAAAAGTTATTTTCTTAGTATCCTGATAATTTCAATTAACGTTTTAAATTATAACAGTCTATTCAGATTAATACCAATTTAATTTCAATAGTATAAAAAATCTTCACTCTTATTACTTCCATTCTCTTCTTACTTTGTGCTGTATTGTCATACAAATTGTATATTTTTGCACTGAATGCCCATCAATACAGATTTATAATTATGGCTTTATGCAATTGTCTTTAAAGTTAGATGGGAGAACAAAAAGAATTACAAACAAAAAAATACATTTATACTGTCTTTTATGTTTACCTATATACTTTCCTTTACTAGCATTTTTTATTTCTTAATATGGATTTAAGTTACTGTCTTATATCTTTTTATTTCAGCCTAAAGGACTCCCTTTAGTATAGTTATGCATCACTTAATGTTGGAGATACATTCTGAGAACTGTGTTGTTATGCGATTTTTCATTGTGTGAAATAGAGTGTACTTACAGAAACCTAGATGGTATAGCCTACTACACGCCTAGGCTGTGTGGCATAGCCTATTGCTCTGAGGCTACAAACCTGGATAGCATATTACCATACTGAATACTGAAGGCAACTGTAACACAATACTAAGTATTTATGTATCTAAACATAGAAAAGATACATTAAAAATACAGTATAAAAACTTCATTATAATCTTGTGGGATCACTGTTGAATATATGGTACATTGTTGACTGTCATGTGGCACATGACTGTATTTCTTATAGGATAGGTTCACTAGCAATGAATTCTCTCAGTTTTTGTCTACTTGAGATTATCTTAATTACTTTTTCACTTTTGAAGGATAGTTTTGCTAGATACAGAATTTTGGTTGACAATCTTTTTCTTTAAGGAATTTGAATGTGCCATTCTAGTTTCCATGGTTTCTGATGAGAAGCCAACTCTTAACTGTTAAACTGTTGATTGAGGATCCCTTTGTATGTGATAAGTTGCTTTCCTCATGCTGCTTCCTAGAATCTTTCTTGTCTTTGGCCTTAAACAATTTGATTATGATGTGTTTATGTGTGGATCTCTTTGATATATCCTACTTGGAGTTTATTGAGTTTTTTTCCATGTGCAGATTGATATTTTTCATCAAATTTGGAAAGTTTTTGGTAATTATTTTTTCAAATATTATTTCTGCTTCTCTCTTTCTTGGATGCTCATTATACACACACACACACACACACACACACACAGACACACACAGAGTACATATTTTTGATGTTATCTCAAATGTCTCTGAACCTTTGTTCATTTTTCTCCATTCTTTTTTCCTTTCTATCCCTTAGACTGTATAATATCAATTTACTTATCTTTAATTCACAGGTTCTGTCTTCTGCCTGCTCAGATCTGCTTTTGAGCCCCTCTAGTAAATTTTTCATTTCAGTTATCATGCTACTCAACTCCAGAATTTATATTTGGTTCTTTAAAAAATACATAATTTCGATCTCCTTATTGATATTCGTTACCTGAGAAGATTATTCTCATACCTTTTTCTAGTTCTTTGGATATGGTTTTCTTTAGTTATTTGAATGTATATAGAATAAATGATTTAAAGTTTTCATCTTATAAGTTCAATATATGGGCTTCCTCAGGGACAGTTTTTATCAATTATTTTTTTCCCACTGTGTATGTGCCTTACTTTCTTGTTTCTTTGTGTGCCTCATAATTTCTTACTGAAAACTGCATTTTAAATAACATAATACAGCAACTTTGGAAATAAGATTCTCGCCCTTCCTCGGGGTTTGTTGTTGTTGATGTTGCTTCTTTGTGTGTTTAGCGACTTTTCTGAGCTAATCCTGCGAAGTCTGTATTTTTTGTCATGTGTGGCCACTGAAATTTCTGCTTAGTGTTCAGCTAATAATTAGACAGAGGGTGCCTTGATGCTTGGAACCAATAAGTCACCTTGTTTTTGCAGAGTGGCTCTGTGTGTATGTTGGGACATGCCTTCAACACTCAGACAGGACATTTGACAACTCCACCTTAGCCTTCCTGCTTGGGCAGAGCCTTAAGCTTAGCCCAGGTTGAGAGCTCAGGACCTTCCTTAGTTTTTTCCTGCAAATGTGCACAGCCCTAGGCATGTGTACCCTCCTGTGCGTACATATGGCTTTCTATATTCCTAGGAATATTTCTGAGCCTTTCAAGGCCCTTTATAGATATTTTATTCCCCCAGATTTTCTTTTTAAGGTTTTTGGTTAGCCGGTTTTTGTTTTTTTTTTCCTCAACTGTTATCCATTGTTTTAGGCAGCCACAAAGTCCAACAATTGTCTCCAGTTGTTTTCAACAAATACCCTTGAAGAAAAAGCTGTTTACTCCAGGCAAGTTTTGAGACAGGTGAAATAAAGACAGTCTTGCAAATGGTATCTTCCAGGAAACCACTAGACAGGTCAAATAATTACAACTCTCTGGGAATGAGGATTTGAAGGAACTCCAAGGCTGTTCTACCCCTTCTTGTAGCTGCCAGGCTGCTGGTTTCCATGGTGATTGTCGTTTGTTGGTTTTCAAGGCTACTGCAGAGTTGGGGTGAGGGGGCTGGAATTGTAGCAAGTTAAAATGCCACAAGGCTCACTCTTCTTACTAAAATTATGTCATTTTTTTTTTCTTGAACGAAGACTTCCCAGATTGCTATAAACTTTTGATTAATTTCCAGAGTTCTGAAAAATTTGATTCTCACCATTTTTGCCATTTTTCTTATTGCTTTTAGGGAGGAGGAAATTTTCAGAGGATTTGACTCCTACCATTTTCATTGACATTACCTGCAATATATTTAAATATCCTTCTCTGTGATTGCTTTGTCGCTTCTCAAAACTCAGTTCAAATGTCTCCTCCATTGTGAAGCCCTCTTCTTTGTATCCTCAGGGCAGCTATTCCTCTATTCTCTTATACCTCTTGGTTTATGCCTTTGTTATTTCACTTTTCATAATAACAATTAGTTATATCTGTTTCTATCCCTTTTTTCAGTCTGTAAGCACCCAGTCTTTGACTTGTTCATCCCCCATGCCCAGGCTAGTTTCTGACACACAGTAGATACTCAGGTTTGTAGTCTGAAGAATATTGTCCTAGGACATCTCAGAGCCTAGCCAAGGGCTTCTGAATTCCAGCCACCATTTCTCTCCTTCTGCTTCTATAATTCACAGCTGACCTCTGTCTCTTCATTGTCTTATGTGTGCCCTGGTGTGATGACCATAAGTTCAGAGTTGACACACTGAGTGCATGATATAGTTTGGATCTGTGTCCCAACCCAAATCTCATGTCAAATTATAATTCTCAATGTTAAAAGTGGCCCCTGATGGGAGGTGATTTGATCATGGGGGTGGATCCTTCATGATCAATAAACCTTCATGATTCATCATCCACTTGGTGCTATTCTCGTGACAGAGTTCTCATGGGATCTGGTTGTTTAAAAGTGTGTGGCACCTCCCCCGTCTCTCTCATGCTGTTGCTCCTGCCATGTTAGAGGTCTTGCTCCCCCTTTGTCTTTCACCATGATTGGAAGCTTCCTGAGGCCTCCCCAGAAGCAGAAGTCACTGCTTCCTGTACAACCTGTGGAACCGTAAGTCAATTAAACTTCTTTTCCCTAGAAATTATCCAGTCTCAGGTATTTATTTACAACAGTGCAAGAATTGACTAATACAGTGTATGAGGAAAATAGGGAGCAAAAAGTTAAATCCTGTGTGAGTGATATTCAGCAACAACAACAACAATAACAACAACAACAATAACAATAGCAGCTACTGTTTGCTGAATACAGTCTGTGCTAGACACCAGGCTATGGGCTTTATAGGCAATATCTCAATGAATTCTAACATCAACCTATGAGGTAAATACTATTATCCTCATTTTATAGGTGAGGCTGAGTAAGGGAAGTGGGAGAATTGAGGTTGGATGAAGGCCTGACTCTAAAGCCTATATTCTTAACTTTCCTATCTGAGGGGTTTTTGAGCAGCCAGTTGGAGGAAAGAAAGCCCCACCTGTGTTTACCTCCCCTAGGACCTATTCTGCCTCCTTGTCTAAAGAGATGTGCCTGCTCCCAGGTGTGTTTAGCCCCGTGTGGGCTCAGCTGGGTCACCTTGTGCTTTGAAACAAGATAGCACTGAGGGGCTCCTGCAGCAACTGGCTCCCAGGGCAGACAGGGGCAGAGGCCCCACTTCCCTGGCATTGGGGTGACAGATGTGGCCCTGGGGCAAGAGATGACAAAGATCTTCCATCATCACCCCAACAATTCCAACATAGTGACAGCCCCAGACTGCTAGAAAAGCCAACCCACATGGAGGCGAGATAAAATCCAGAGGGCTCAGAAACGTTTCAACAAATGCTAGTATCAGTCTCCCCAGTACAGCTCTGTCAGCAGGAAGGGAGAATTCTGCCAGCATGCATGGGGCACACTTTTTGGCACAAGGGACCTTGTTGCTAAGCAGCAGTAGTTGGCCTCCCCTCCTCCCCATAACCTTTTCCTCTGTTTCTGTGTTTCCAGTTAGCAGATGGGAGGGGCTGGGGTTGCCTAGCCCAGCCCAGCCCTTGTGCTCCTTTCCTGCAACAAGGGGCCTATTCATGGGTCCTGAGCAGGGTTCATTGTCTCTGTGGCGTGTGTCTGTGTGAGTGTTGGAGTAGGGATACAGGGAGGGGCCATGTGTGAACCAGGGAGACCTCATCTTCCAACCAAGCTTGCTGGGCTAGCTTTAATCAATGCTGGCCTGAGAACAGGAGCAGAACGCTGCCTAGTAGACCCTGAGGCTTTACAACAGTGTCACTGACCCTTATGGTAAGGCCATGCCTCTGTGCCACCCCTGCTGTGACCTCTCTCCCTTTCTTTCTCTCTCCCTCCTCTGCCCTTGGGATTCTAGGCTGGTGGAAAGAGCCTCCTGAGGCAGCTCTGGTACAGGGGCTGGATCCTAGCAGGCGCCCTGTTCGGCCAATTTCCTGTTTCCTCCCCAGGGACTGCCTTTTATTCTCCTCTTTTGTCCCTCTTAGACCTATCAAGTGCTTTGCACATACGTGGTGCTCAACAAATCATTATTATGTTGAACTTCCACTCAAAAAGAGGAGCAAGGAGTCCTATAATTTTAAAGGCCTTTTTTTTTTAGGCTAGTACATGAGCTTGGGCAGTTGAATTTTGAGGTGGAGCAGTACATGAGGTGAGGCCAGTTTGTTCAAAGGCTGGGTTTAAAGCCAAGCTTCCTTGGTACTGAGGCAGGAGAAAAGACTGGCCATGCCCTAGAATTCTCTAGATCAGGCCTGCCTCTCCACTCAGAGGGACATCAGCTAAGAGCAATCACACAACCCCAGAGAAGAAATCCAAACCTCATCCTCTGTTGCTGCTTCTCTACTCTCTTATGGGTGCTTGATTGGCTCTCCCAAGCCTGCTGTCCTCCAGCTTCGCTGCCTGTGTCCTGTGAGTCTCATCTCTAGGCACAAGAAAGAATGTGTGTGGTATGCAAACCATGACCTCTGTTTCTCCTGGAAAAGCAAGGCCTGCAGCTCTTGGGAGGTCCAGTCCTATAGGTTCTGGGCTGTGGTTGGTGTGGGGAATAGGGAGGTGGGGCTGGTAGCTCATTCTATAGGCAAGGTGTTGGGGCTGCTGCCCTGGCTGTGAGCTGAACTGGCATGGGTGCTTTGGGTCCAGTGGAATGATTTTCGGGACAATTTGGAGGTGACTGACCTAGGTGAGTCTGACAAAGGCTTTCCTTCCTCCTGCCGGAGGGTTAGGAAGACTAGATCAGTGGAGTAGGAAGGCATGACTGGGGAGGTTTTGGTGTGAAAAGAACATTTCATGCGACACATGAAAATCACACTTAAGCCAGTGCTGTCTTGGAGTCAGCATTTCAGGCTTTTATTCTCATTGGGTATAACCCTATGCGTTGACAGGGAAAGACGCAGGGGAGACGGGAGTCTGCAGGGAAACGGGAGTTGCTTCAGTTTTGAGAGATTTTATCTACCCTACTGGATTATAAATTTTGGGGGGAAGGATCCACAGCTTATGTGTAGTTCTTATTAATATTATTTTACTTAACATTTGTATTGGGCTTTACAATTTATAAAGCCATGTTAATTCACGTTTTGTTATTTGTACCTCCCTCTCTCCCTCCCTCCCTGTTTCCCGTCTTTCCTTCCCTCCTTTAATGTACTTTAACTGAATTCCCACTTTGTGCCAGGCCCTGTGCTTAGCCCTGGGATGCAAAAACCAGTGAGGAAGGAGAGAGAAGGAAGTAAATGAGCACAATATAGGGCCCAACAGGTGCTGTATGCATTGAAGGAAGCTTCCTGGAGAAGTGACGTCTATGCTGAGTCTTGAAGGGTCAGTAGGAGTCAGTTACATGGGGAAGGGGAGAGCAGGTGCAAAGTCTCTCTGTTGTGAGAGTGACTGAAGGTACTGAGGTATGGCGTGTATGTCAGTGTGACCCCAAATTTTGCTGTGGAGGGAGCAAGTGCTGGCAGTGAGGATGGAGAGGTGAGGCAGGGCGAGATCATGGAGGACCTTGTGAGCCATGCCACAGAGATCTGGTTTGATCCTGAAGGCTACAAAGACTCATAGGGTAGAGATGGGGCTCACATACTCATATTTGCATTTTAGAAAGATTACTCTGACTTTATGGCATGGAGAATAACTGAGGGAGACAAGATACTCGAGGAGGGAGATTATTCCTTGGAAAGTAGGAGTTATTACTCTTATTTTACAAATGAGACAACTGACATTTGAAGAGATGGCCTGAGTTGTCCACGTTCACATAGTAGGTTGTAGACCTAGCTTTGAACTGTCCGGTGTTTTTTTTTTAAGATCTTATTTTCATTACTCCTCTTCATGGCTCATGAGCTTTAGGCACACATATGACTTACTCTGCTCTATGCTTTCTTATCCCCATGCCTTTGCTAATCCAATCTTCTTTGTCTGGGCTACCCAATGCCCATGTATATAAGCTCAAACCCTCTTCATCCCTGTGGGCCTCAGAGGCTGCTTTTTCTAGGAAGCCTTCTGTGATCACCTCAATGAGAAGTAAGCTCTTATTCTTTTGGATGATGATGGTAGTGTATTAGTCTGTTCTCACACTGCTATGAAGAACTGTCTGAGACTGGGTAATTTATAAAGAAAAGAGGTTTAATTGACTCATAGTTCTGCATGGCTGGGGAAGCCTCAGGAAACTTACAATCATGGTGGGAGGGGAAGCAAACACACTCTTCTTCACACGGTGGCAGGAGAAAGAAGGGCAGAGTAAAGGGGCAAAGCCCCTTATAAAACCATCAGATCTTGTGAGAACTCACTCACTATCATGAGAACAGCATAGGGGAACTGCCCCATGATCCAATCACCTACTATGAGGTCCCTCCCCCAGTGCGTGGTAATTACAATTCAAAATTACAATTCAAAATGAGATTTTGGGTGAGGGGAGAGCCAAATCATATCATTCTATCCTGGCCCCTCCCAAATCTCATGTCCTCATTTCAAACACAATCATGCCTTTCCAACAGTCCCCCAAAGTCTTAACTCATTCCAGCATTAACCCAAAAGTCCAAGTCCAAAGTCTCATCTGAGACAAGGCAAGTCTCTTCTGCCTATGAACCTGTAAAATCAAAAGCAAGTTAGTTACTTCCTAGATACAATGGGATGCAGGCATTGGGTAAATACACCTATTCCAAATGGGAGAAATTGGCCAAAACAAAGGGGTTACAGTCCCCATTTAAGTCTGAAATCCAATAGGGCAATCGTTAAAACCTTAAAGTTCCAAAATTATCTCCTTTGACTACATGTCATACATCCAGGTGACACTGATGTAAGAGGTGGGCTCCCATGACCTTGGGCAGCTCTGTTTTTGTGGCTTCGCAGGGCACAACCCCACTCCTGGCTGCTTTCGTGGGCTGGTGTTGAGTGCCTGCAGCTTTTCCAGGCTCACAGTGCAAGCAGTTGGTGGATCTACCATTCTGGGGTCTGGAGGACGATGGCCTTCTTTTCATAGCTCCACTAGGCAGTGCCCCAGTGGGGACTCTGTGTGGGAGCTCCAACCCTGCATTTCCCTTACATACTGCCCTAGCAGACGATCTCCATGAGGGCTCCACCCCTGCAGCAAACTTCTGCATGGGCATCCAGGTGTTTCCATACATCCTTTGAAATCTAGGTGGAGGTTTTCAAACCTCAGTTCTTAACTTCTCTGCACCCACAGGTTCAACACCACATGGAAGCTGCCAAGGCTTGGGCTTGCACCCTCTGAAGCAATGACCTGAGCTGTACCTAGGCCCCTTTTAGCCACAGCTGGAGCTGATGCAGCTGGGACACAGGGTACCATGACCCAGGCTGCACAGAACAGGGGGGTCCTGGCCTGGGCCACAAAACCATTTTTTCTCTCCTGGGCCTCTGGGCCTGTGATGGAAAGGACTGCTGTGCAGTCTCTGACATGCCCTAGAGAGATTTTTCTCATTGTCTTGGTGATTAACATTTAGCTCCTCATTACTTATGCAAATTTCTGAAGCAGGCTTGAATTTCTTCTCAGAAAATGGGTTTTCCTTTTCTATCACATCATCAAGCTACACATTTTCCAAACTTTTATGCTCTGTTTCCTCTTGAACACTTTGCTGCTTAGAAATTTCTTCTGCCAGATACCCTAAATCATCTCCCTCAAGTCCAAAGATCCACAGATCTCAAGACAATGTGGTGATTCCTCAAGGATCTAGAACCAGAAATACCATTTGATCCAGCAGTCCCATTACTGGGTGTATACTGAAAGGATTATGAATCATCCTACTATAAAGACACGTGCACACGTATGTTTACTGCAGCACTATTTACAATAGCAAAAACTTGGAACCAATTCAAATGCCCATCAATGATAGACTGGATAAAGAAAATGTGGCACATATATACCATGGAATACTATGCAGTCATAAAAAAGAATGAGATCATGTCCCTTGCAGAGATATGGATGAAGCTGGAAGCCATCATTCTCAGCAAACTAACACAGAAACAGAAAACCAAACACCACATGTTCTCACTCATAAGTGGGAGCTGAAGAATGAGAACACATGGACATGGGGAGGGGAACAACACACCCCGGTGCCTGTCTGGGAGTGGGGGACAAGGGGAGAGAGAGCATTAGGACAAATACCTAAGGCATGTGGGGCTTAAAACCTAGATGACAGGTTGAAAGGTGCAGCAAACCACCATGGCACATGTAATACCTATGTAACAAACCTGTACGTTCTGCGCATGTATCCTGGAAGTTAAAGTAAAATAAAAGAGTAGACTATATGTCACATGGTTTCATTTATATGAAACTATAAAAAAGGGAACTCTAATATACAGTGAGAGAAACAAATCAGTGATTTTCCAGGGCTGTGGGTTGGGGAGGAGTTAACTGCAAAAAGGCAGAAGGGAAATTTCTGGGGTGACCTTAATGTCCTATATTTTGACTGTGTTGGTCATGTGGGTTATATCTTTGTCAAAGTTATTGATCTGAGAACTTAAAATGTATGCAATATTTTCAATGTGCATTATGCCTCAATAAAGTTGAACAAAACACCCCCTGCTCCCTGCCCCCCAAAAAAGAAAAACAAACAAAAAACCACCAAAGTTCCACAGATCTCTAGAGCAGGGGCAAAATGCCTCCAGTTTTTTGCTAAAGCATAGCAAGAGTCACCTTTCCTCCAGTTTCCAAGAAGTTCCTCATCTCCATCTGAGACCACCTCAGCCTGGACTTCATTGTCCACATCACCATCAGTGTTTTGGTCAAAACCATTTAACAAGTCTCTAGGAAGTTCTAAACTTTCCCACATCTTCCTGTCTTCTTCTGAGCCCTCCAAACTATTCCAACCTCTACCTGTTACCCAGTTCCAAAGTTACTTCCACATATTTAGGTATCTTTACAGCAGCACAAATTTACTGTATTAGTTTGTTCTCACACTGCTATAAAGGACTACTAGAGACTGAGTAATTTATAAAGCAAGAGGTTTAATTGACTCACAGTTCCGCATGGCTGGGAGGCCTCAGGAAACTTACAATCATGGCAGAAGGGGAAGCAAACATGTCCTTCTTCACATGGTTACAGGAGAGAGAAGTGCAGAGTGGAGAGGGGAAAAGCCCCATGTAAAACCATCAGATCTCGTGAGAACTCACTCACTATCATGAGAACAACATTTGGGAACTGCCCCTGTGATTTAACCACCTCCCACGAGATCCCTACCCCAACACATGGGGATTCCAATTTGGATTGCAATTCAAGATGAGATTTTGGGTGGGGACACAGCTAAACCGTATCAGGTAGTTTAGCTGAACTTTTCTTCTGTCATTTAACATATTGTGCTTTACATGACTTATCCTCAGGACCAGACTACAGGTTCTTTGATGCAGTCAGAGTTGGGAGTGGTCTGCGCTGGTTTATTCTGAACTCCCGATAGTGTCCCTTATAGTGACCTGTGCGCTTGGACCAAATATCTATGGAATGAATGAATGGGTGGGTGGGTGATTTGTGGAGGGGCACTTCTTCTTCCGAGATAGGAGGGAATGAAGAAGGGTGGGATCTTGAAGCTGAAGGAGGGTGTTGAGGGACTTTAGCAGATGCCTTCAATGTTTATGGAAGATGAAGGAGTGGCTAAGAGTGTGGGCTTTGGAGTGGGACAAATCTGCATTCAAGTGTTTGCTACTGGCCATGTGAGAGTAAGGACAGTGGGGTTAGGGGCCCCAGGAGGGCACGGGGGGCCTGGCAAGGTATTTGTGGGAATATACAGGGAGTCCCCAAGATGAATAGAGGTTTACAAGTGGCAATGGAAGCACGACTGGGGTTAAAGAATGGGGAATTGGACTTGGCTGTGACTTCTCTCAGCAATCCTTGATGTGGGAATCCTGGGTGTCTGACACTTACTTCCCCAGAGCCTGATGCTGGATGACCAAGCCCCTGCGGAGGCCCAGTATGCAGAGGAGGGCCCAGGATCTGGGATCTTCAGAGCAGAGCCTGGAGACCAGCAGCATCCCAGTAGGCCAGACTGGGTCATAAGGGAATGACAGGGTGGGGACAGTGGAGGGCAATCATCCTACATTTCCTGGATCCTCCTTGGGGTCAGCCCCACATGATTGATGGTGAGAGGCTGTCTCACTCTTTATCCCCAGACCTGCTTTTGCTTCCCATTTCCCACTTTAGGGATTGAGTGGGATTTGTGGGCTTCAGTGATCAGGCCCTTTCCATCCTCCCCTGCCCCCACCCCCTCCCTAATCTGGGCTGATGGGACAGGAGGAGGTGTCCTATTGGAGTTCTGTGGGTACCTAGCCCCATGGTGGTGACTTAGGGTGAAGTAAGGCTGGCTGGCAGGAGCAGAGGACCCAGATACCCCTCTGTCCTTTCCCACAGTTTCTCAGGTGGTGTGCTGGCGCTCCATGCGACGAGGCTGTGCAGTGCTGGGAGCCCTGGGGCTGCTGGCCGGTGTGGGTGTCGGCTCCTGGCTCCTAGGTCAGTGCTGGGGTCCCTTCTCTGGTGTGGGGGAGGTTGGAAGGGAGAAGCAGGTGCTGAGCAGGCATTAAAGGTAAATAGGACAAGTGTCTTCCTCATCTACTCTGCGCAGACAAGGGGAGAAAGGGTGAAATCGCAGCAGGAGGGATCTAGGCTCTACATAAAGAAGAACAAAGTGTATGATCCAAGGAGGCCTTAGTCAGACTTTTTCTGGAAATCCTTCCCAGTGAGAGAGATACAGAGAGAACACACACAGAGAAAGACAGAGACATACTGAGAGACAGAGAGAATGAGAGAGAGAGAGAGAGAGAAGGGAGAGTCAAAGAGACAGAGATAGAGGCTGAGGCCAAGAGAGATGGAGCGCTGTGCCCCTCCTCAGTGGGTTGGTTGGGGACCTGCCTGAGAGCAAGGTGGCTGATGAGGAGGTCAGCACCTTGACCCCCTCCTTTGGAAATCAGACCCTTTCTCTTTGTTCTTCTCTGAAGTGCTGTACCTGTGTCCTGCGGCCTCTCAGCCCATTTCTGGAACCTTGCAGGATGAGGAGATAACTTTGAGCTGCTCCGAGGCTGGTGGTGAGGAAGCTCTGCTCCCTGCACTTCCCAAAACAGGTGGGCTGCACCCCTGAGGCTACGGGCCTCCCTCCCCAGCAGGGACCTGTCACAGCTGGGGGCAAGAGAACCGACTCTGAAGGGCCATCTGTTCACTGCCAACCATATGTATTTCCCTCCTCTAGTGTGAGGGCGGTGACAAGGTGTCACCTTGCAGAGGTGATCTCTGATTTGGGGCTTTCAGCGCTCTCTGAGGACTGTCCTGATCTCTAGCTGGGGCAAGGTCCAGAGACCAGGCTGGCAGGAGGGATAGAAACTTGCCATTTGGGGCAGAGTGAGTCAGGGATGTGGGGGAGGAGGGGTCAGGTGTGTGTGGGAGCCAGTGTGTGACCAGCAGGGCCACCTATGGGTCTGGGAACATTAGCCCACCTTGTCCCCTGTCTCCCTCTCCTGATTGTCCCCTCTCCTCCACGTAAGAGTTGGGGATCAGAAGGTACAATGCTACCCAGAGGCTACGGGTTAGAATAACCTCATTAGAATAAGGTTGGAGTCTGTCTTTGACTGTGTGGCTTTGGGCACATTACTTCTTGTAGCTTCTGCTTCCTTCTCCATAAAATGGAAATACAAATATTTACTGCATAAATTTTTTAAGGACAAAATAAACTAATCTAGGAAAAGATATTAGCACAGAACTTGTGTAGTAGTCTGTTTGGTTTGCCATGAGTAAGTACCACAGACTGGGTGGCTTAAACCACATTTATTTTCTCACAGTTCTGGAGGCTAGAAGTCCAAAATCAAGGTGCTATGAAATTCAGTGGCCGAGGCGGGCGGATCACAAGGTCAGGAGATCGAGACCACGGTGAAACCCCGTCTCTACTAAAAATACAAAAAATTAGCCGGGCGCGGTGGCGGGCGCCTGTAGTCCCAGCTACTCAGGAGGCTGAGGCAGGAGAATGGCGTAAACCCAGGAGGCGGAGCTTGCAGTGAGCCGAGATCGCGCCACTGCACTCCAGCCTGGGCGACAGAGCGAGACTCCGTCTCAAAAAACAAACAAAAAAAAAAAAAGAAATTCAGTGTCAGGAGAGAGCTCTTTTCCTGGATTGTAGATGGCCGTCTTCTGCCTGTGTCCTCCCCAGGCCTTTCCTCTGCTCTTGAGGAGAGAGGGAGCTCTCTGGTGTCTCTTCCTCCAATAAGAACGTTGACTCTATTGGATCAGGGCCTCACCCTCGTGACCTCATTTAACCTTAATCACCTTCTTAAAGGCCCTGTCTCCAAATCCAGTCACATTGGGGGTTGGGGCTTTGTGTGTGTGTGTGAGGGGTGGGGTGGGGACACAAGTCAGTCCGTAAGAGCCTGGAAAAAGCATACACTCAACAACTGGTAACTATTATTATCACAAGATTTGATATCAGAAGACCTGGACTTAAGTCCTGGATCCATCACTTCCTGACCCTGTGATCTTGGGGAAGGTGCTCAAACTCCAAGCCTTAGTTCTCCTTCTGCAGAATGGAGAGGATGGCAGTACTCATTGCACAGGGCTGCTGTGACAGTGAGTGGCAGAGCACGCTTAAAAGCACTTGGTTAAAATAGAAAACAGAAATGCTCTACCAGTAGGGGTGAGATTGCTCTTGGGACTGGTCTCACTCCCCGGGCAGCAGGGAACTTGGCACTGGGTGACCCAGATACTGTCATTAAAGCCTCTTCAAGTACTACAGAGTCCTGGGTTCAGCTCTTCCTGTCCCACCCTACCACCATCCTTCCCCATGTGGTTTTCATGCTGTGATTTCAGTATCTTTCAGAATAAACAGCGAAGACTTCTTGCTGGAAGTGCAAGTGAGGGATCGGCCACGCTGGCTCCTGGTCTGCCATGAGGGCTGGAGCCCCGCCCTGGGGCTACAGGTCTGCTGGAGCCTTGGGTATCTCAGGTAACAGGAGTCAGATGTGGGTCCTGTGAAGGGGGAGGCCTGGCTGGCTGGTGAAGGATGGGAGTTGGAGACCTCTATCTGCCCATCACTGGTCAATGTGCTCAGGAAATGTCAAGAGGTCTTTTTGGCCATCTTTTGGCCTCTGGGCACAATGGTACCCCAGCCCATTTCTCTGTTTGGAGTATTACTGCTTTTTAACAAGCATAAATCCCAGCAGTAGTCATTATCACAGTCTTACGGTCACTATACTAGTATTATATCTCGTACACATTCCAGTTATGATTTCCTCCTGTTCTATTCCCTTCCTCTGCCAAGACTCACTCACCACAAGGGAGTAAACCTCACTGACATCAAACTCAACAGCTCCCAGGAGTTTGCTCAGCTCTCTCCTAGACTGGAAGGCTTCCTGGAGGAGGTGTGGCAGCCCAGGTAGGACTACTGAGGTGGTTAGGTGAGTGGGTTCCCTTACTTCCTGGTGGTCAGTCCAGCAAAAATCTCCTTTCTTGGGATCCTGGTGGTGAGGACACTGGTGGCCTAAGATAGGAGGACAAAGAGAAACATTTCCTAATCAGAAATTAACAAACTCAGTTCACATGAGCCCTGTCTGTCACCACTTCACATCTGCTATTTGCCCTTCACAGGAAATGTAGGGTTGGTTATCACTGTCACAAGATTTGAAATGGTACTCATTGCCATTTTACCGGTTAGGACACTGAGGCTTAATAAGGTTAAAGGGTCTTGTCCAAGGTCACATAAGTAAGCAGCAGCCAAGTCAAGCCTTGAAACCAGGCTCCTGTCTCCAAGCTCAGTGCTCTCTGAATCCTGTCACACATTATTTGGATAATTTGGATATTTCAGGAGAGAGATGGTTGAGTTGCTCTGGCTAAGAGTTGCTTGTAGTCTGGAGAGTCTCCCAGAGAAGAGGGCTGTGGAATGGAGCAGCCCCTGCCCCAGATCCTGGGGATGGTCTGGTGTGACTGGGGCACAAGCAGAGAGGGTCTTTGCACCTTCCTAGGCTTTCTCAAGCTGCCTATCAGCCTCCTGGGATAGATGGGTGGGCACCCCCATTACCACGTTTCCAATTTGAACTGTTCCTTCAGGCCCCTCCTGTCCAGCTCCTATGCTCAGGAATGTGGCTGGAGATGGGAAGGTTCTGACTGGGTTCTTGTCTTGGATACCTGAATGGGAAAATGGAAGTAGGGGTGGGGCTGACTCCTCCAGGAGAGCCAGGAGGGCTGTGTATTTGGGAAACTAGGAGACACTAAGAGGGTCTAGACATTGGGCTGCTAGGGGCAAGAGGTGAATAAATAAAGAGAAGAGAGTTTGGGTCAAAAAAGCAACTAAGAGCTAAGAGAGAAAAGGGGAAAGAGGAGAGCAAGAATATGAATATACAAGGCCCAGGCAGAGGGACCAGGGTGGAGAATACAGCACACCTAGGAAGGAGCATGGGGTGAAGAACCCTGGTCATGCACGCACTCACCTATCCATTCATTCATTCATTGAGTGTGTCTTTATTCAGGACACTTAGTGGTAACAGTTGATCTATGTCCCAGTTGATCTGCAAGGACCATGAAGTCCTTCTATTGCCCTCTGGGAGATTAGGCAGGAGGTGTGCTGCTGTCCTGGGGACCAGTGATGAGGAGGGGTCTGAGCGTTTGGTTGGGGGCAGGAAGGAAATGGTGATATTCTTCAGGCTGTGGCTACATGACAGCCTTAAGAACTGTCCACCACCTCCACCAACCTCCCCCATTCTTCACATCCTTGGATGTGTGTGGCCACAGGGTGGGCCCTGCCCAGCTTCTTGCTGGCACCTCTGTTTTGCAGGAACAACTGCACTTCTGGTCAAGTTGTTTCCCTCAGATGCTCTGGTGAGTCATGTCTTGGTCCCGGGGAGGTGGCGGTGGGAGGAAAGGGTGCTCCCCCTCCTTCAAGTGTGGAAGAGCCCTATGGTGAGGCTCTGCTGGGTCTGGGGTGGGGTCCTTGCCCACCTGCCTGCCAGGCCCCTTGTTGCAGTTGCTGTTCTGCCCCAGCAGAGCCCTTTCTAAGCCTCCATCATGTCCCTCACCAGCCACAGATCTGGGCTGATGATCTCCTTCCTTCACTACCTGCCACTCTCTTCCTTGACCTCTGACACCCACTCCGCCTTTTTTCTGGAGAGCCCCAGAGGTGAAATTATTATTGGCTATTGAGTGACTCGTTAGCACCTTCAGGAAACTAAGGGCAGGTGGTGAATTAGGTACCAAACGGGAAGCAATCTGTGGAGTTCCTTTCATTGGTCTTCCCGTTCATCTATCCGTCTCTTCATCTGTCCATTCAGACATCCTTCCACACACCAACACTTCGACCTCTGCTACAGGACGGGCATTCTGTTAGGCACTGGGGCTTCATACCTAACACAGGGCTCCATGCAGACACAGTTTCTGCTCTCAGCAGGCCCACAGCTGGATGGGGCAGGCAGGGGTGAAATCAACACTTCTACCTTCCCATCCCCCACACTTAGGACCAGGAATAAGAAAGGAGAGCTGTCCACACTGGCTGTCTGGGGCTTGGCACTGGGTCACGCTCCCTGAGAGTTAGGACCATACTGGCACTCACCTCTCTCTCTCTCTCTCTCTCTCACTCATCTCTGTTGGCAGAGTGTGGAGCGAGGCCCCTGGCTTCCCGGATAGTCGGCGGGCAGGCTGTGGCTCCTGGGCGGTGGCCGTGGCAGGCCAGTGTGGCCCTGGGCTTCCGGCACACATGTGGGGGCTCTGTGCTGGCGCCACACTGGGTGGTGACTGCTGCACACTGTATGCACAGGCAAGTCTCCGTGGCTGCTGAGGACAGAGCGCCTCGGTTGCCCTTTGTGTTCAGCTGTTGGTGTGTCCTGTATCAAATGTTCATGTCCAACCGTCTCCAGCTTTTTACTCCAAGAGGGTAAGATGTTTGTGAAGTTCTCCCCATTCAGTATCAAGAACAGATCTGCACAAATAACAGTAAGGGTATGAAGATTTGTTCTGTATATTCATCAGCTTTTTTTTTTTTTTTTTTGAGAGAGAGTCTCACTTTGTTGCCCAGGCTGTAGTGTAGTGGCGCAATCTTGGCTCACTGCAACCTTCGCCTCCTGGGTTCAGGCAATTCTTGTTGCCTCAGCCAGGAGCCACCATGCTCAGCTAATTTTTTTGTATTTTTAGTAGAGATGGGGTTTTGCCATGTTGGACAGGCAGGTCTTGAACTCCTGACCTCAGGTGATCTGCCTGCCTCGGCCTCCCAAAGTGTTGGGATAACAGGCGTGAGCCCCCGCGCCTGGCCTCATCAGCTTTTAAGTGTTAAAAATACTTTCACATTCACAGCACCCTGTGTTTCTTCAGGTTTATCTTTGGTTCAATCATTTTCCATGTAATCATTTGGTTAATATCTTTCTTCCACTTTAGACTGGAAGCTCTGCAGGAGCAGGGACTCTCGGTCTTATTTACCACTAAATCTCTTTGTAGATTTATCCACTGCTGTGTCCCCAGGGTCTAGAACAGTCCCTGGAATATAGTAGGTGCTTAATAAATGTGACTTGGAGGAATGAATGAATGATGAGTGAATAGCTCTTTGATCTTCTCTTGGTGCCGAACAGGGCAGAGAGTGTAATCCCCATTTTACCAAGGCTGGGAGGGAGAAGTGCCTCTCTCGTGATCACACATAGTAAGTCGAGAGACAGGACCAGCGGAAGCTTTTCCGACACAAGGCCCTCTATGTGTTTGCTATAAAACTTGGAGGGAAGTTATGCAGGAAAAAGGGAGTGATGGTTGCAGATGACCCATAGTCTTCTCCATCCCTCAGTCCTGGAGCATTTATTAAGCACCTACTGCATGCCCAGTGTCTTGCCAGCTGCTGGGGTGATGCTAAGAGGCATGGTCCATGGGGCTTGTGAGCTCACCACCCGCTAATGGCCCCCCCACCAATGGCCACTCTGGCCAGCTTCCTCCACCTACTACTTCACTTAGGAACACCTCTTCTGCTCCTTCCTTCCCCGCTCAGCGTGGCCCCTGTGTGCAGTTTCAGGCTGTCCCGCCTGTCCAGCTGGCGGGTGCATGCGGGGCTGGTCAGCCACAGTGCCGTCAGGCCCCACCAGGGGGCTGTGGTGGAGAGGATTATCCCACACCCCCTCTACAGCGCCCAGAATCATGACTACGACGTCACCCTCCTGCGGCTCCGGACCCCTCTCAACTTCTCAGGTGCGGCGCTGGCTTGAGGGTGGGCAGGCTGGAGACTATGTCGAGAGAGGGCGGGGGCTGGGCGGGAGAGTGGTGAGCTGATTTCTGAAGTTTCCTCTAAACACCGTAAACCTTACAACATTTTATTTGGGGACTGTAGTGAATTTTGGCATCACCTGGATGTGAAACTGTTATCAACTCTTGCACAGGCTTTTTTGGGAAAAAAGGTTCAGGCCCTTTTCATGGCTGGGCTGCAGGTGGGCTTTGCCTTGAGGTCCCAAGCAGCTGCTCTGTTCACCAATGGGCTGCTCCGCTCCTGTCCCCAGGCCAGTCTTGGGTCCTAGCCATTTAGTGCCATGTTACAGTTTATGAGATTTTTTTTTTCAAATATCTTCTCTTTCAGTCCTCGTAACGACCCTGATAGGTAGATGAAACAGGTAGATACAGACAAGGGCACTGCGGTGTAGGGAGGGAAGCGACTCTCTTCAAGGTCATGTGGCAAACAGTTCCTTAAGCCTGATGCCAGGGCTACTCCTGCTGTTGCACCTGCCCTAGAAGGTGAGCCCAGGCTGCAGCCATACCAGCAACCAGTTTCCCCCAACACACACGTACACATGGACATTCACCTACAAACACACACACACATGCACTCAGTCACATGCACATAGACTCACACGCATTCACACATGCTCACACATATGTGCTCACATGAACACACCTGCACACACACACCACACACACTCACAAACATGCACACTGTGCACACACATATACATTCACATATACTCAACACTCCTTCCTGTCATCACCTGTAGCCTTAAGTTTCCCAAATAACAGTCATTGCCATACACATTTCACAAATTTTATCACATATGTGAACTATCATTCAACAGGTAATATTTCTAAGGCTGGGCGTGGTGGCTCATGCCTGTAATCCCAGTACTTTGGGAGGCCAAGGTGGGCAGATCATTTGAGGTCAGGAGTTCAAGGCCAGCCTGGCCAACACAGTGAAACCCCATCTCTACTGAAAATACAAAAATGAACTGGGCATGGTGGTGCACGCCTGTAGTCCCAGCTACTCGGGAGGCTGAGGGAGGAGGATCACTTGAACCTGGGAGGCAGAGGTTGCAGTGAGCTGAGATCGTGCCACTGCACTCCAGCCTGGGTGACAAAGCAAGACTCTGTCTCAAAAACAAAAAAAAAAAAATTCTTAGTATATTTAAAAGAGAAATACTACTATATTAGTATCTAAGTAGTAGATACTACATAGATATCGAATGTAGTAGTATATTAGTATCTACTATATTAGTATATATTAGTACTATATTAGTATCTAAGTAGTAGATACTACATAGATATCTAATGTAGTAGTATTTCTCTTTTAAATATACTTATTTTGTTATAGAAAATAGTACATTTACTATATAGTCTAGTAAGTAAATAGCATATTTATTATTAAATATACAAAATAGATACAGTAAATAGATAATAATTAGTATCTCTAGTTAGAAGACCTATATTACTTACCTAACTAGAGAGCCTATACCTAACTAGAGAACCTGTGTTACTTACAGTAAATAGATACTAACCACAAAAATATGTAGCATGAAAAGAAATCAGTGTGGAAGTTCTAGGTAGCCGAGTCTGCTGCAGAAGTTGCTGCACCCGGGCGTGCTGTCTCCTGTTTGGATGGGAGGTCGGCAGGCTGTAAGAAAGGCACAGACCAGCCCCAAATGAAGTCTTTCTCTGTGATGCAGTTAGAGTGACTGAAAGAGAATTGAAGGACATGGCATGCTCCCCAAGCGGATGTTTACTCAATGGCATGCCTATGTACTACCTAAAATCATGTATGGCTGCGCCCATTGGATATGTCACACGTTTTTGGAAACACTGTCCTCATTAGAAGTTGGGTACCCATGGCCTGAAAGAATTTTCACCCCCACTCCGTCCCCAGGTGTGGAGAGGGGGCAGCATGGGCCCTGTCCACCCATAGAGGACACCATGCACACTACAGTTTGCATGCTGTCCTCTGTGACAGGGGACCCCTAAGATGGGACAGTACACCACTTGCATAGCCATCTAGGAGGCCTGGCTGGTGGAACCCAGGAACCAGGACTGTTTCAGAACGGGGGTGAGGTGGACTTGCCAGTCCTGGGTCCTTCGCCCAGGCTCCGCAAGCGGGGAAGCCGAGCCTGACTGGGGACCAGGATCACGTGCCTCTTTGCAGACACCGTGGGTGCTGTGTGCCTGCCGGCCAAGGAGCAGCATTTTCCGAAGGGCTCGCAGTGCTGGGTGTCTGGCTGGGGCCACACCGACTCCAGCCATAGTGAGTCAGCTCCCTGGGCCCTCGGTGCAGGAGCGGGTGTGGGAGGCATTCTTCCCCAGGGTGAGGCATGGCCACATCCCTTGGCCACATGACAGTGCCAGCCCTGTTTTTCCCTGGCATCACCCTTGGCCATGACTAGGGGCTCCAGTCTCCCCTGCCTGGGCCTTTCTGGGGAGAACATCTACTGAAAATTTTCCCCAAACTCAGACCCTTTTACACCACCTCCCCTTGTCCCAGGAGCGCCATGGTCTCACATTTGGTGTATATGTGAATCCTCCTCCTCTTCCCACTCCCAGCCCCCAAGTCTGATAGCCTCCTGCTTCCTTGCTCAGGGTCCACAGCTCCCACCCTGGGCTCGCCTCTGTAGGTCTCCATGTCTCTGGGACTTCTAATTACCTCCCCTCTTGCTGTTCTGCCTGCCTGGGTCTTGCTTTATGCCCGGCAGTTTTTCTTGGTGTCTCTCATAGCTTACAGCTCGGACATGCTCCAGGACACGGTGGTGCCCCTGCTCAGCACTCAGCTCTGCAACAGCTCCTGCGTGTACAGCGGAGCCCTCACCCCCCGCATGCTTTGTGCTGGCTACCTGGACGGAAGAGCTGATGCATGCCAGGTGTGGCCTGTGGTGGCTGGGGTGAGGGTGGGGGTGGAGATGGGGGTGGGAGGACAGGGGGCCTGCTGTGACTTGGACCCCTGCCCTGGTCTGAGCTTGTCGGTGGTGTGAGACCGCCTCTCTAGAAGGAGGGGCATCTAGGCAAGTCTGGAGCTCATGCTAAGGGTTTAAGGAGGGGTGAGGCCAGTAGGTGTCTGAGCTAGAAGCAGGAGGGGCCCAGCAAGGAGATTCCACTTGCCATAGTGGTCTGGTGCTCTCCAGCAGGAAGAACTAACTGGTTGTTTCTCTGTGTCTCCATGCCTGGATCCCATAGGGAGATAGCGGGGGCCCCCTGGTGTGCCCAGATGGGGACACTTGGCGCCTGGTGGGGGTGGTCAGCTGGGGGCTTGGCTGCGCAGAGCCCAATCACCCAGGTGTCTACACCAAGGTAGCTGAGTTTCTGGACTGGATCCATGACACTGTTCAGGTGAGTGTGGGGGCAGGAGTAGGACAGGGAGGTTTCTAAAGGACCTGCCCCTCCAATGCAAGGAACCTTACCCCTTAGGCCCAGGTCCTGCGGGGGCTGGGGAGGGGACTAGGACATGTTCTCCAGAGTGGGTGGAGGAAGAAGTGAAGCTTAAACATTGAATCCACTGGATTTCTATCAATTTAAGGATAAACTGGGTAAGAGTAGCCCTGAGTTTGTATCCTAGATCTGCCTTTTCCTGTGTCGACCTTCAGCAGGTTTCTAACTTTGGTAAACCTTAGTTTCCTGATGATAACCATCATGGCTGCTTATATGCTATTGTTATATGCTATTAAATAAGACCTGTACAATGCCTAGCACAGTGCTAGGCTTAGAGTGAGTGATCTGTAGTACTTTTTGTTTTTTTGAGATGGAGTTTTGCTCTTGTTGCCCAGGCAGGAGTACAATGGCACAGTCTCAGCTCACTGCAACCTCCACCTCCTGGATTCAAGTGATTCTCCTGCCTCAGCCTCCCAAGTAGTTGGGATTACAGGCATTCGCCACCACGCCTGGCTAATTTTTTGTATTTACTAGAGACAAGGTTTCATCATATTGGTCAGGCTGGTCTTGAACTCCTGAGCTCAGGTGATCCACCCGCCTTGGCCTCCCAAAGTGCTGGGATTATAGGCATGCACCACCATGCCAGGCCTGTTGTGTTATTTATGTGTATATCTGTTACTGTCACTCATCCCTAGTCTCTAAGGCAGTTACTAGTGGCCACATTCCCTGCACTGTGGAGAGAGCTCAGCATTTAGCAGTTTGGGTTCTGCATCGACATAAACTATGTGACTCCAGGCAAGCCACTCTCCTTCATCTGTTCAATGGGAAGGCCAAGTGAGACAATGGATGTAAAAACACATTAGTGGCTGGGCGGGGTGGCTCATGCCTGTAATCCTAGCACTTCGGGTGGCTGAGGTGGGTGGATCACGAAGTCAGGAGTTTGAGACCAGCCTGGACAACATGGTGAAACCCCGTCTCTACTAAAAATACAAAAATTAGCTGGACGTGGTGGCATGAACCCAACTACTTGGGAGGTTGAGGCAGAAGAATCACTTGAACCTGGGAGGCGGAGGTTGCAGTGAGCTGAGATCTTGCCACTGCACTCCAGCCTGGGTGACAGAGCAAGACTCTGTCTCAAAAACAAAACAAAACAAAACATTATTTACATAAAGTATTTTACAAATTTAGGGCATGATCATGAAAAGCATCTTCCTCTAATGTTGGGCAGGGGTGGGGGTTGGTAGATAATACAGGGAATGTATGTATCGATCTTCTCATAGAAATCTTATAAAAAATCTCGAGCAGCAGATAATTTTAGCCCCATTTGATAGAAGTGAAAATCAAGGCCCTGCATGGTTAAGTGATTTACTAAAATAAATGTCGCTTGGCTAGTGTAGAGCCATGCTGTGAATCCAGTTCCTTTCCCTTTTGGTCTAGGACTCCCTCCTCTGAGTCCGGCTGTTTCCTCCAGTCTCACTGCACACCGCCACCTCATGCTTCCTGGGGCCTCTAGCAGCTCCACTAACAGAGGAGAGGCAGCAGCCTCCAATGCGGAACACATGGACCTCCTACTACTGTGCATGAGGAACAGTCACCACCCACCGGCCAGCCACCCAGCCGCCAGGTCTCTCCTCTTGGGCCCTGATTTCAGAGTTCTCTTTCTCACTAGAGACTCAATGACAGAAGAGAGGCTGGGGCTGGGTTGGGAGTACTGTGGTTGCTGAGGGATGAGGGGGAGGAGGAGAGAGGTAGGAGCTGGAGATGAAGAGGCTGCTGGAAGCAGCAGGAAGCCTACCCTTTTTCTGCCCTCTCCCCTCCCTGCCCTTGTGTGAGTCTTCTGGGAGGGTGCTGGGAGGTGCCCCCAGTCCTGCCTTTTCCCTGTGCTCTCAGGTGGGCTAAGTGCCTCCCTAGAGGACTCCATGGCTGAGAGGCTCCTGGGCAGATGGGGTCAAGGCTGGGCCAGCCCAGATGAAGCCTACAGGAGTCAGGACCCTCTCCACTCTCCCTCTCCACTCCCCTTCCTGTTCTCACCTGGCTCTGGCTGGCCCTGTATGGGGTGGGTGCACTGGAAAACAAGAAGGTTGGAGTTGGTCTAGGACATTGGTTTTAAATGACAGTTCTGTGAACTGGTCCAAGGAGTTCTGTTATTAAAGTGATATATGGTCTTGGTCCAGTTTTCTCTGTCTGCCTCTCTCTCACTTGCACAAAGACAGACAGACAGACAGACACAAACACACACCCGCCCACCCACACAAGCACATATTGCAGGGTAGAATTACAATTTTCCTGCTATCTTCTATACATGTTGAAGCTTTGGTGCTGACTCCTGCTCATCTACTCTAGAATTTTGGTTTGTGCTTGTTTTGCCCAGGCTGGAGTGTGGTGGCACATCTCAGTTCACTGCAGCCTTGATGCTGTGGGCTCAGTGAATCCTCCCACCTCAACCTCCCTGGTAGCTGGGACTACAGGTGCACGCCACCACACACGGCTAATTCTTCTTTTGTATTTTTTATAGAAATGGGGTTGGCCAGTTGTGGTGGCTCACGCCTGTAATCCCAGCATTTTGGGAGGCCGAGGCGGGTGGATCACGAGATCAGGAGATTGAGACCATCCTGGCTAACATGGTGAAACCCCGTCTCTACTAAAAATACAAAAAAATTAGCCGGGTGTGGTGGCGGGCGCCTGTAGTCCCAGCTACTTGAGAGGCTGAGGCAGGAGAATGGCGTGAACCCGGGAGGCAGAGCTGGCAGTGAGCCGAGATCACCCCACTGCACTCCAGCCTGGGCGACAGAGTAAGACTCCATCTCAAAAAAAAAAAAAAAAAAAATTTCTACATGTCATGATCTGCAATGAAAAGCCTTAGCCATCCAGGTGCTGTGAGGTTTTGAGTTTGAGAACCACCTAAGTCAATGCTCTCTTGGGAAGGTTTGGTTTCCCTCCAAGGTCCATCTCTCCTTCTCTTTTTTTTTTTTTTTTGAGACAGAGTCTTGCTCTGTCACTCAGGCTGGAGTGCAGTGGCGCCATCTTAGCTCACTGCAACCTCTGCCTCCTGGGTTCAGGCAATTCTCCTGCCTCAGCCTCCCGAGTAGCTGGGATTACAGGCACACTACAGCCACCATGCCTGGTTAATTTTTTGTATTTTTAGTAGAGACGGGGGTTTCACCATGTTGGCCAGGCTGGTCTCGAACTCCTGACCTCAGGTGATCCACCTGCCTCGCCCTCCCAAAGTGCTGGTATTACAGGTGTAAGCCACCACCTGGCCCCATCTCTCCTTCTTAGCTCTTGTTTTAGAACTGGGCCTTTTGACTTGGCCTCTCTTTCAGAGTTTATGCCCAGTTAGCATTTCCTTGGTTAAGCCTATCCCCTACTCTCTCCTCTCTAGCACTTAAAATGTAATTGGCATCTGGTTTCTAAAAACTGCAACGAATTTTTTTATGGTGCTTACCCAAAGAAATGCAATTAGTATTTAGCAATAACAGAACTTAGTGAGTTTGTCAGCATATTTTTTGAGGAGTTGTACAAATGATTACTCATTTCTAGAGGGTCTGCTCCCTTTACATGAAGTGAACTAAAAAATGAAGGTTTCAATTTACTGCCAGTTTATTAACCAGGGAAATAGTTGCTGGGAGTCTGCTGTCAAACTGTAGAAGCAACGTGGGAGAAGTTCTGCTGAATGGCAAAATAGCCTCGCCCTGTGTCTCTGGAGGTCAAACCTTCAGCCTTTACCCTGAGATCAACATTTACTGCCCAGCTCCCTTAAGTCCCTGTCTCAGGAGGCACTGATGGGGTAGTGGATCCCCCTGGGCAGGGGTAAGTTAACAGCAAATCCAGCAGCTGTGATCTTTTTTTGTGTTTCTGATGTCAATCATAATCATTTGCATATTTAAAGGGAAGTTTAAAAAAATTACAGCCATCAAGGTCTTTCAATAATCACTAACATTTGAATGGTGTTTTTCAGTGTAGAAAACATGCCCGTATGTGGGAGCTCACAACATCTATATGGTGCAGATATTATTATTATTGTCCTCATTTTCCAGATAAGAAAATTCAGAGAGATTAAGTGACTCCCCCAAGAACACCCAGCTGGTAAGCACCAAAGCCAGGATGTCAACCGTGGGTCTTTTTACTCTAAATCCACATCACTGTCATGCACATGGATGAATGAGATGGTCCAGTATTCATGGACCAGCAGATGGTCCAGCAGAACAGAATTGAAATGTACTTGCTCAGGTCACCTGGTCTAAGTCACCTGCTTACAGTAATGCATTGACACACCTACCTTTTTAAATTTGTTTTGTTTTTTTTTTTTTAGACAGAGTGTTACTCTGTCAGCTAGGCTAGAGTGCAGTGGCACAATCTTGGCTCACTGCAACTTCCGCCTCCCAGGTTCAAGCGATTCTCGTGCCTCAGCCTCCTGAGTGACTGGGACGACAGGTGTGCACCACCAAGCATAGCTAATTTTTTTTGTACTTTTCTTTTTTTAGTACAGATAGGGTTTTGCCATGTTGGCCAGGCTGGTCTCGAAATCCTGGCTTCAAGTGATCCACCTGCCTTGGTCTCCCAAAGTGCTAGGATTACAGCTGCAAGCCACTACACCCGGCCCTACTTTTTTATAGATGAAGGAACCAAAACCCAGGAATTTTAGAGGCTCCTACCAAAGACCCTTCTCAGGAAGTATTCTTAGAAATTCCCAGTTCTCCCTGAGATTCATGGTCTAACTAAAACTTACAAATTAATATCTCCCATAGGAGAGCTATAAAGGGTACCCTAATTAGAGAATTTGCTAATAATGATTCCTTGCTTACCTGTACAGAAGCTCCTGTTCTCTTTGGCCAGGCAGTCAGATCTGCGGATGCAGAAGCTCTCACTTTCCTTGTTAGCATCTGCCAGTTCAGCTTTTTGGAAAGGGAAAGGAAGCGAGTGGCCTGGCCAACTCTGTTCCCCTGAGCCTGCTCCTGGAATGAAGGGGTGGAGGTGGGGCCAGGAAGGTTGGGAAGATTCGGGTTCAGAAGGGTTTTAATGAGGACCAGCTGGGTTCCCAGTGCTCTTAAGCTCTGTAGGGAATTCGGAGGTAGAAAAGCCGACTGTCTTTTTGGAGAAATGACTTATTTGCAATAAATTACTAGTAGCCAGCCAGGCGCAGAGCTGAGTGGGGAGGTAGTAATTGCTCAGTGAGTTCCAAGAGCCTATTGTTAGAGAAGTCAGAGCAACGCTGTATGTGCGAAACCTCTGCCTTCCTCCGGTAGGATTCAGCATCACACCTGCTTGGGCAGAGATTTCCAGCCTCCTGCGATGTTCCAAGAGGGTCATTCCTGGCTGCCACAATGGGTGCAGATCCCTTCCCTCTTCTTCTATGTGCTGGTGGGGTCTCAAGGACTCTAGAGGGTTCAGCATCCCTCTAACATCAGATGCAGGTTCTCCCCTCCTGACACCTTCTGTGGAGTCGTGCTTTTCCTAAAAGGGTTTCTGGGAACAAGGGGCGGCCCTGCCATTCCTCTGCAACATTTCTCAGGCTCTTTCTTATATTTTCTTTTTGGAGGTGCTTGGCTCACCCACAATAGGACAAAACTGGAAATGCTATAAATGCCTAGAGCCGGTTTGGTAGCTGTCAGATGTTTTCCCAAGTCCCTCTGATGCTTCTTCTCTCCTCTTTCCTCCGCCGTCTCCTGGCCATGCTCTCAGGACCCTCTTGCTGCTCCACGGCTACTCAAAGGAAAACCTGCTTTCACCTGTCCCCACTTTCCAGTCCAGCATCCTGGGTCTGAGCCCTGTCTCTACCTCCCCCGTAGACATGCCACAGCAAACACACAGGGTGTGCCCCACCCTCAGGACTCTGTGTCCTACTAAACTGATCAGAGCCGGGTGTTGTTAATGACTCTTTCAACTCTGTGTTAAATCCCTCCACCCCTAGGCAGGTTCATAAGGAAGTAGGTAGGCAGCAGCTTCCTACTCTTGAGGGCTGAGACTGGTCTTTCTCACACATTCAAGGCTGGGAAAGAGAGAGGCCAAGCAGGGGTCTCCCCAGAATGGAGCACTCCAGGTGGATTTGTGGAGGTTTTCACCTGGAGGTGGTGCTGGAGGGAACCAAGCTGGGGAATCAAACAGAATGGAGAGAGGAGTCGTGGCTGCAGAGGCACAGAGCCCTTGCTACTTAGCATCTCCCAGAACAGCACGTGGGCTCCAGGAAGGCAGAGACTTGCAAAGGGCTGGGCTCATCTTGGAGCTTTCTCCCTTCCAAGGAACCTCTGGCTATAGCATCTGATAGTAGGAAACAGTGGTTCTAGATGCAGAGTTCCATCACATCCCACGTGGGAATGTGTTCTCCAGCAGGTGACTCAGTCTCCCTGGATGTTGGTCTCTCATCTGTCAACTTAGAAGTCTGGCAAGATGGTCTCCATGGGATCTGCCTTGTCAGACCAGCTTTAACTCAAACTTCTTTTGCCTCTTGAGATGCGTGCCCACCACTTCCAGTTTGGATAACCTTTAGGAGGAGCCTGTTCCCTGGGACAGATCTATAGAAGTCAGCTTGCTATGGCTTCACAACACTGCCAGGCTGCTGTCCCTAGGAGCCCTCTGTGTCCATGGGAGCAATAGAAACTGGGCAAAAAACTTGGAAGGCAGCTTTCGCCATGTTGCTGTACCCAGCATTTGTACCCTGGGCAAGGATTCAAGGAAAGGTTGAGCCCCTCAACCTGGCAGTTTTTTAGGTGCTCCCCAGCTCACTTTCTGATACCCCAGACTCTGTCTGAAGCCTTATGGGCCCCAGCTCCCCAAAGGCAGCCAAAGGAATTTCCTCTCTACCGCAGACGGTGAATGCTTTCCTTCTTTCTGTTTTCCTTGACAGCTCCTAAGCTGGCCATGAGGACCCACTCCTTCCTCCAGCCTTTCTTCATGCCTAGAATAGTGAGGAAAGTTGTGGGTTAGCAGAACCACTAGAAGACATCTGGGATCCAAGCCCTGCTCTGGACTCAGCCACGTGCCAGGCTCAAGCAGGGAGGATCGATTTTCCCACAGCCCCTCCGTTAGGCTGACACATCTTCCCAGTTGGTCCAGGACTGTCCTGGTTTTAGCACTGAAAGGCTTATGTCCTGGGAAACTTTTCAGTTCTGGATAAACTAGGACAGTGGCTCACCCTAAGTCCAGTGCCTCTCTTCTGTATAAATGGCGTTCTGC